GCAAAGGTTGGGTTGAATCCTTTCTGTCACTGCCCATAAAAAAAAATATTTTAAAATTAACCGTTGTGGTTACGATGTTAGATTTAATAATAAAGTGTCTCAAGTTAGATTGATAAATATTTTTATTTATTCTTATAATACGGTTACACTGCGATCCATATTTGATCCATGTTTGGATCAATATTTGGTGCCTAAACATATCTTATTCAAATATATATATATATATATATATATATATATATATATATATATATATATATATATATATATATATATAAATGGCCTAAGTCCGACAATTATTTTCATATATTTTATGAATGTCCGAAAAATTCATAGAAAATATGTGTACTCCGACAGAATCAAATCTGTATCCTACACGGAATCGTCATATAGCCTGACATGCTATATATTTTCATGGGAAATTTGCTTTTTAAAAACAGTAATTTGACTTTGCTAACCTTCCTCTGTACCTAAATGGTATAGCATGTCAAGCTATATGACGTTTCCGTAAGATACAAGTTCGATTCCTGTCGGAGGACCCATATTTTCTATAAAATGTCTTGGACATTCAAGCCGGTAAAAGTAGTTAATTCTGGTTTATTATAAACAGAGCATTTACTTAAATATTTGTCTTTATAAATATAACGTATAAACAGAAAATACACACACACACAAACACACACACATATATAGAGAGAGAGATACAGAGAGAGTGCGATGAATTACGCAAAAGTGAAAATAAAATTGACATCACATTTGAACAGATACATTTACCAAAATTACACAAAAATATCTTGAAATATTAAGAGTTAATTTATCCAATAAAATCGCCATTGGCTTCAACCACTCGACGGTCTCCTTGTTTAAGCTAGTGAATGCTGCCAAAATCCTTGCCCTCGGTTCTTCTTGGTTGATACAAGGAGGTTTTGTTGGTTTCTCCCTCAACTGTGCCCACACGTAATAATCAGAGGGGGTTGCTGTTTGGGAAATTAGGCGGCCAGATGTATAGGGGTGTAGGCCTCTGTGTTGTGTTTGAGGCCCTCACTTGGAAATTTGGGAATTATTTCTTTATCTGAACAATCAGAGTGAGTTTTCCTAGTTGCAGTACCTTCGTAATCACCATTAGACTCATCCAACTCTTTTCGGATCCTCTGCACTGTTTTCAGATTGACACCCAAACACCCTGAAATGTCGTTTCCAAATTTCTGGCGGAGCTAATTGCATCGTAGTGCTCTTTTTCTTCAGACGGGGCCAAACTAACCCTACTATATCGTACAGTCGGGTAAATTAAAAAAAAAATGAAATTATAAAATGGTGACAATTTACCCATTGCACCCTGTATGTATACCGAGTGTAACAGCAAAATTGTCAAAATCGTGTAACAGCAAAATTGTCCAATTGTTACGTTAAGCTCTGAACTGTTTTATGTTAGAAATGATTTAAGATGCTGGAATTCGCCGAGGTTTTTATGACACTATAGGACTCTACTTAGAGCAATAGGAATGTATAATTACACTCAAAGCTTAACAGAAGAATTGTGATGAAATCGACCATAAACGAAAATGACATGTTCATCATTAATCATACCTAAGGATAAAATTTCAATTATATATATATATATATATATATATATATATATATATATATATATATATATGTGTGTGTGTGTGTGTGTGTGTGTGTGTGTGTGTGTGTGTATTATTCCGGGATCAATTTACAACTTATTCAAGATGATCTCTGCCCTCTCTAAATTTCAAAGCTTCTTTCCTGGAGTAACAAGGTGACTCACAGATTTCACGTAAGATTTCATTTTCAAGTCTTTTTTTTTTCACTGCTCCTTGGACTGTCACAGTTGAAACTCCTCTGTCTCGTTCTAAACGTCTTATAGATTGAGTTGCATCTTTTCCAATTGATACTCTTTAGCTCTAAGTTGACCTCATGATCCAGATTTTCTCTCTACTGTTCTATCTTTTTAAAACGTATTCACCGTTTACTTGATGGTTCTTGAATGAAAGACAGAGTATGAATGTTGGCACCTTTACTGAAGGCCTGAATGATCATTTCCTTCTCACCATTGCTTAGTTGGGAAGACAGTTGGGAAGATATAAAACGATTTTAATCTGTTTTCTTCCTAGCTGAATATATCAAAGGTTCTTTCAGTGAGTATTACGACAAATGGTGTCAAGATGCTTAAACGACTTATCTGAAAACGTGGAAAAAAGAAACTCATTTTAGTGGCTTTTTAGATATTAAACATTTTGTGGGATGGATAGTTATACTGTTATACGATTTAGAAAATTTTGCTGTTACACACGTTATATATATATATATATATATATATATATATATATATATATATATATATATATATATATATGGCAATTTTTCATACAAACAAATTTGACTAAAGAGAACTGATTAATTTTTTATTATACTTTTCAATTTTCGGATAAATTATTGAGTATTGTGATCGAGGTTGTAGGTAAGCTGTTCAAAGTTTATATTTTGTCATTGTTTTGTTCAAATACTTCCAATTATCGCAGTCATTATCAAGAACTAATGTGGCGTCTGTGTAGTAGTAGAATATGCTTATACGTATATGTATGTTTGTAATGTCAGAGGTTTAGGCATTAATTTTCAAAGCCAACACGTATATTAGTAAGAGAAAAACAAACATTTCCTTACCATCTGAAGCGTACATAAGTGTAAAAACTGTCATAATTCCGCAAACTCCTCCAATAAACATAAAGGCAATAAACAATTTCTTTCTTCCTAAACGGTTCAGTAACGCAATACACACGAGGTACGCTGGAATTTCAACAAGGGCACCAAAGAAGAAATTCAGGAAGATATCTCCACTTAGATTTCCAATGTTAAGTAACAGACCATAATAGACAAAACTGACCAGAATCCTGCAAAAATATTTAACAGAAAGCTAAATGATTCTTTATTTGACAATGATTTTTTGCAGTCCACAAAGAGGTAATAAATTTTAATTATAAAACTTGTAATTTACGTACTGAACAATGAATAATAATTATATAAGTGAGTAAAGATGTCCATTTGTATAAACATTGCAACTGGTGTGAAAGAATGTATAAATTCATAGAATGTTCTTCTATGTGTCGTTTCTCTTCAGGACGTTGGAGATCATTGGTCCCCACAATTTCCTGTTCTTTGTAGCTCTTAATATTTTTTTCTTTTTGTTATCACTCCAAAATCCTGTTCTACCATTCATTATTCAAATTCGCTAGGTAGGTTATGTGTTGTTTTCATCTGTCCCTCTTGCATTTAATCTGTCCTGTGAGTATTAAATTTTCAAAGCTCTCTTTCCTTTTTACGCCACTCCAAATTTCAACCCTTTCTGATGTTAAGTATAAGTGTTCTTTTGTTTCCATTGTCTTCAAAACTTCGTTGTTTCTCACATGTTTGGTCTATGGTATTCTCAGCATACTTCTGTAGAACTACATTTCTCTTGTTTCAAGTTTCTTCTTCATCTGTGAAGAGGTTCTCCAGAATTCACTGCTATTTTGGTAAATTAGCATTATACATTATTCCTTTACAGATATTTGTACATTCGATATTCACCAAGCTTGCTTTAGCACATCACATGTCTAAATAAGATAAATGAGTGAAAAACGAGTGTTTTAAATCACGTTTTTAAGTTATGTTTGCCTTAAAAATCACCATTGGGAACAGTACCATATAACTGACCACGGATCCCAACCTTAGCTACAACTACATTCAGTAATATATGATCGAAGAATACCATAAAATTTAAGCGGAATCTGACCATAACTTTTCTTTATAATTTGGACATGATTATTTATTAAGTATTTACAATGCCTAACTCAGTCTGTCAGAAGCCCAAAGTTTTGAAACCCCCATGAGAATTTAAAATAATAAGGTAGGAAAAGATCTGAGCAATGATGTTCAAAACAGGAACGTTTTCTTCGTCATTTGAACATTTTTTCCTTACGTTTAGTTAGCTTTGCGCAAACTTTATCAACAACGTTCCGGATCCCTTAAGAACGTGTGCAATTATAGTTCCCCACAACTTCCTAACCTTTTTAGGTCTTAGCAATATTTGTCTTTTTACTATTCCTCCCACTTTTTCTTCTGACATCCATCTATACAAGCTCGTTAGGTAGCTTCCCTCTGCCTCTCCTTCAATATCTTCTCTGAGTGTCAAATTTATCAAGGCTTTTTCCTCATTATTTTCTTAGTATTTTCAACTGTCTCATACTGGTTTTACATATAATTTTTCTTTTCGTTTCCATTTTCTTGAAAAACTTCGCCGTTGGTTAGGTTACATATTCCAGACAAGATGTTTTTCAAACTCCTTCTTCATAATCATATTTATGCTGCCTCACGTCTCCACTTCATAACAGAGAATCTGGTCCCCTTGTCGTATAGAGGTTTCAAATTACACCCAACTAAATTAATTAAATATCTATAGAGCAAAAGACCTTTTATAATCCACTTCCGTAACAACAAATTTAAATGTACATTATTCTGCTACATCCATCTATTTATTTTCTACATTTATAGTGTTCTGGTTGACAAAATAGATGAGTAAACAATTACTACCATGTAGCGACTCCTCCTCTTTTCACCGAGTATTTGAACACTTGGTTTGGCTCAACAATGATAAGCTTAATAAATGTTAAATTTCTATTAAAAATAAACATTGACAAAAATATATATTTTCTTGTTTTAAGGTTTGCTTGATTTTATGTATAAAGCCCGACTTTTTAATCGGGCACCTAGGGACCAGGCTACTGCCGAATCCCAGATGTCAGAAATCCAACTTAAAAAAATTATATGGAAATAACCTTGCCAACTCATTCCCCATATATATTACTAACGTTCCTTTCTTTAAGTTCGTCATTAACTCCGTTTCCTAGCATAGATAAAAAATTATGCATGCTCTTCCTACTTCTAGCAGCATAATCTGCACATACTGCTCTCTTTGGTGACATCCTGAATAGGTAAGCTTACAGTCACATCACGTTGAAACACCTGTTCCTGTAAGATCACTGCAGTTAAGCAACGTCAATCCTGATTAGTACCTAGATGAGTGACCGCTTGCGAATAACAGGTTTTGTAAACTTGGATGTGCGGGTGATGTAATGGATAATGGCTCGGATTTTTTAATCGGAGAGCCGAGTTCGAATTCCCGTTGGGTTCGTTATATTCATTTACGCGGGAATGGTATGGATCCATCTCTTCTATCCGCGTCTGACTTTTCTCACTAAATCATTATTATCTCTAAAAAAATTCTTACAATCTAAGAAAAATATTTTATGGCTTTAAATAACCTTGGAAATGGTTGATAAGCCGTAGGAAATGACTCAATCAATCAATCAATCAATCAATCAAAAAACAATGAATAGATAAATATAGCTATATACACCCCTGATCAAAATCTTAAGACCAGATACAAAAGGGTTAAAAATATATAGAATACTGTTACTTTAATCAAAATATATTTGCGAAGCATTTACATTTAATTAGAAAATGTAGTTTATCAACAAACAAGTGAAATGTTTAAGCTTTTAAGCAAACATTGAAAAAAGAATTCTTTGGTTGCTCATAAGTATAAGACCATGTGTGAAAAAAACAAATTACTGGACAAAAATTTTAGAAGTAGTCAGTGTGCTCAAAGCTTCATGCGTGTAGACATCTATATAGCTCATTTCTAGTATTAAATTTCAGATTTTAAAATGGCTAAGGGTAAAATTTTAACAAAGTTTGAACAGGGCAGGATTGTTGAAATTCAAAGACGTGGTCTTTCGCAATGAGCCATTCATTGCAAATGAAATTGGTCGTAGCAGAATTACTAACTTCATTAAAAATCCGGATGTGTATACTTCTAAAAATTCAAGCGGTCACCCCAATAAAATCTCAACATCTCTAGAGAGACGCATTAGGTCAGAAGTTAAGAGAGATTCAAGCATAACATCAAATCAGATAAAGACGAATACAGATGCTGAATGCAGCTCTCGAACAATTCGATAGCATTTAAATAAGAAATGGTTTAAGAACTTGAAACGGTTGCAGAGGCCTCACCTTCTTCGCCATAAAACCTCCTGTTTACAATTTGCTTCCGATTATCAAACTTGGGATATGGATAAAAGAAAGAAAGTGTTGTTTTCAGACGAGAAAAAAATTCAATCTTGATGGCCCAGGCGCCTTTCAGCGTTACTGGCATGCAAAAGATATCCCAAAAGAAGTTTTCTCAACCTGACACAGTGGAAGTGGATCAATTATGGTCTGGGGTTCATTTTCGCATAATGGAACTCTTGGGTTACAGGAGGTAAAAGGTCGCTAAACAGCTGCTAGTTACATTGACATGTTAAGAAAGGCATTGCTAATTACTGAAGGCCCTCATGTATGTGGAGAAAACTGGATTTCCCAGGAAGACAATGCTGCAATCCACAACGCATTCCAGATCGAAACCCAATCGAGAATGTTTGGGGATGGATGGCAAAGGAAGTTTATAAACATAGATCGCAATTTGAAACTGTGGATGCTTTTTATGCTGCAGTTTATGTATCCTGTGCGATCATCCCAAGCACCCTCATGCAGAAGTTAATAATGAGGATGCCAAATCGAATTTTCGAAGTACTTTGCAAAATGGTGGATATGTTGAGACTTAAATTGTCGTTGTGACTTATTTGTTCTGTATTTGCTATTTTTATTTACATGGTCTTATATTTATGACCAACCCCCCCCCAAATCCTTTTTTTCAATGTTTGTTTAAATTAATCGATTAAAAGCTTCAAATTTTCACTTGTTTTTTATAAACTACATTTTCTAATTAAATGTAAATCAATCGCAAATATATTTTGATTAAAATAACAGTATTTTATATTTTAAACCCTTTTGTATCTGGTCTGAAACAGCATGCAGTAATTATTTACACTTTCGTTTCCATCTCTACAAAGGCAGTTACTTCTTTTCAGCGTTTTGACGTATTTTTCTATGATCCCTTGTCACTTTTACAGTCTTAAAATGAAATTTCTTCTGTTACTGTTACTAATCTCATGGCTATTATTAAAGACAATTCGAATTGATTCAATGATTAAAATAGCAACTATACACTTGTGCAAATTAATTGAAATAACCGATTTAGTTTCCTTTATTTCAACATACGGCCAGTTTTAGACCAACTAGAGTGACAGTGTCTAATCGATTTCTATTTTCTTCTCAGATTAGGTCATTTGCAGTGGTCTGCAGTAATATAAATCTATTTTCGGGGTGTATGATGAAATTTGTTTGGCCTTGAAAAATATTGCGTCCTCAGTGATTGCATCAGATGTTTATCACTTCCAGACACTATTATCTAGACTGTCGATTAGTTGTCCTACGACCATTGTCTGCGATGGACGTTACTCCAAGGAAGCGTCGGAAATTGTAACGCTGCACGAACACACTGACAAGCCTTACCAATGAGCAAACCAAATTATTATAGACTGTCGCGGAAACTCTACTGATTTAAATCCAATCAAGAATCTGTTGTCAATCTGCAAGGGACAACTTCGTGGAATGAACATTCGAAGTACTAACATGTACACCGGCTCATGTTACATTGGAAAAATACGAAAAAAAATTTAATAATAACGGAATTATTCGTTTTGTTTCAATTAATTTGCACAAGGGTGTATAACCAGGTATTCGCAACTTTCGAACAAGGTTGAAACATTTGTCTTCTAACTTTCAGTTTCAGTTAATGTTGTTCAAACGTTCTAAAAACTTACTTTTTTATTATTACTCCTTTTTAGGGTATTACCAGAGTCACCACGTTGGCTATTGACTGTGAAAAAGGAAAAGGAAGCAGAAATCATTTTGAATAAAATGGCCAAAGTTAACAAGCGAGATTTCAATTGCAAGTCTGAAAGAATAGAAATCTCCGTGGTCGAAGATCGAACTGTAAGACTCTGGAAAATATTTATGATTCCAGAAATACGAAAAAGAACTTTTATCCTGATGTTTAACTGGTGAGAATATTTTCGTCGTTTTTTGTTTGTTTTTATCTTTTGTAAATTTGATTTTATTAACTACCAGCAAGGTTTCTCTGGTTTAAGTAGATGGCTTTAACTAACATTTAACAAAATATCACTTGCTTGTAATATTTAATAATTGCAATAAGAAGCAAATATAATTATATATAATATAAAAATATAATTAAACACAATAATAATAAGAAGAATGTTAAAGTCATCATAAAAGGTAAATCGAAAAATTGAAAAGAGATGAAAAAGCTTAACGGCTTTTCATTTATCTGAGTTTTATTGTCCCAAATGTTCAAAGCAAATAAAACGGGGAAAATTGAAAAGAACGATGTCTGATATATTTAATATATAATCATCAAATGCAGATAATATACGAGCCTAAAAGCCACAACTTCTGCTTACAAAGGGTGGGGTGGAATGACCTAATATATATAGTTTCTGAGACCTTTATGTGGAATTTTGAAACAACTTTTCTTATTACAGAAAACATTTCATATCTATAAGCCTGAACACACTGTTTGTTTGTAAAAAACATCCTCAACTACTTGCCGCTAAAAATGTATTGATGCATTCATATAAATTATTATTATTATTATTATTATTATTATTATTATTATTATTATTATTATTATTTCATATCATTACATATTATATATTTCACATCACTTCAGTACTAATTTAGTAAGAAGAGGCGATAAAATAAATTGTTCAGTCATATATATATTGAGTGAATTTTATAGATTAAAGCAATTTTAAAAAATATCTGTGCAAGTTATATTCATTCATTATTAAATTATATCCTACCGTGTTTTATTTCTAATTTAGTAACAGGCGATAAACTTAAATATTCCGGTCCTATATTAACGGTAGATGACTTGTAGATCATGGCACTTTCGATATGTCATCGTCTGAGTAAGTTTTATTCATTCATTATTAAAAGATATTCTACATTCTTTCAGTACTAATTTAGTAAGAAGCGATGAACTGAAATACACCGGTCGTATATTAACATAACACTTTCAATGCGTCTTCGTTTGACTAAGTTGTATTTAATCTTTATTAAAATATGTCAAACAAGTGTTTTAGTACTATTTTAGTAATTTTCGTAAAAAGAAGCAATAAACTGAAATAATACGGTTATTTATTTATTACGTAGTTCTCGTGCATTAAAGCATTTTCAATTCATATTTTTAAGTTTATATATATATATATATATATATATATATATATATATATATATGTGTGTGTGTGTGAACGTGTGTGTACGTGTGTGTGTGTACGTACCTCCATGACTCTACAAATTCAACACCGTACAGTTTAGTAATTATATTAGTTAAAAGCACAAGGCTTTGAGGAAAGCAAATCATGTATTTTTTAAGTGGATCAGACCAGCTGAAAACCAGCTCTGAATTGTAACATACAAAACTCAATAAAATTTAATTTCAAATGCTTTTAATTGCTTTTATTTGTTTTTATGTATATGGATAATATTGTCTGAAAGCAAAAAAAAAAAAATTATTTGTTATTTCTTAAATTATTTTATTATTTTTACATTAAAGTTGTTAAATATTCTAAAATTAGGGAAAACGTATATAAGCATAGTGTTATTAAATGGATCTATCTTTTTAGCATTATAAGTTGTATAGTTTGTAACAATTAGAAGAGCCGAACGGTATAAAAAAAATTTAATTCCAGATGGCTTTTTTGTCCATAAAACGGCTGTAATTCACATGTATAGAAAACCATCAAGAATACAATAAAAAAATCGCGTTATTTGAGTTAAGCATTGTTCTCTGCTGTTAGGGCCTCTATTTTTGTGAAACACGTGTGAAGAAGTTTAATTTTTCAATTTCAACTGAGATGTTTACCTACAAGTATTAGTATTATCTTATGAAATTAAATGATCCTATTTTTATATTATCTCAGTTATGACATTTTTCCTAAACGAAATATCAAAATTAATAATAAAATGAATGGAAATACAAATAACACAGTAAAATGAAATAAATATATATAAAATTATAGTATTTTATGTACACTTTTTTTTCTTTTTTTTTTTAAGCATTGTGCCCCAAACAAGGCGTGAAGCCA